AGGTAATGGACTGCAGCCTAAATGACAACAGTGTAGGAGAAAACTGGACCTCTCTTGAAATGGAACTGCAAGGTTGGGGTGCCACCACCCAAAAGGCTGTGCCATGTGTAACAGCTCCACAGTTCTCATTCTGCAGTATGAGAAACAACAAACAAAGCTTTTTTTCTATAGCAGTTGTGAATTTGGTTCGTGCATCTATGGAATATTTGGAGGACTAATCATTTCTGGTTTGTTTCTTAAATGAGCGTGCTGATCACTGTATCTTCCTACGTGAAAATATACCACGAACTGCCCAAAAATCTGTCTAAAAGAAGCAATTGCAACAAGATAATCAAAATGATTTGCATTCAATGGGTGAATTTTAGCAATTCACTATGTTTGCTGATTGAAGCTGCAACTAGAAGTAAGTTGACACCATGAAATCCAGTGTTGTATGAATGGTCATTGCACAATGAGACTTCCCTCTTCTTATCTCCTTTTTCTTATCCCAACGGATTTGCTCTATAAAGTTGAGGGACTTTCAGCTGGTACTTATGCGGAAAAACCTGCATGAAAAAGAAGGAATTCTGCCTCTCCTTTCTTACGACAGAGGCTGCTCCATTGGCTGAATGGGCTACTTGGATGCAGATAACCCAATAACTGTCTATTTATTAAATTATTTTTATGAGGCCTTTCAGGTTACAAATCCTACCAGAGTGACATAAAAATAATAAAAGCACAATAAAATAATACTGACACATTAAAACAAAACAAAAAAAGCAGATTACTCACCTGTACCTGTTGTTCTTCAAGTGGCCATCTGTACATTCACACATTATGGGTGCTGCACCTGCGCAGTACCTGTTGCTGGGAATATTAAACAGCTTTTAATGGTTTTGGCAGGCACGCTCGCCCGTAGTATAAAGGGGCGGAGTGCCCGCTATTTCCCCAGTCAGCCGGAGACCGTCTGTTCACCCCCAAGTGGAGAGAGTCAGTAATGAATTCAACTCATAGAAAAAAACTAGCAAGACAAATAGATAGAAAAAGAAGGGAAGTATACATATAATATGTATACCCAAGAAAAAGGCATATACACAATATATGTGTATACACATTACCATATTGGAAAAAACAAAGTAAATGAATGAGTTAAACAAGTACCCAGTCACTGACACCGAGTGGGGCCAGTGGGCTGGTTGTGTGACTGTCTTGTGAAAGACTGGCAATGGCCGCACTTACCAGTCCTGTACCTTCCTCGAGACAGAGGTGGCACAGGTTGTGCTGATCAGTGGGGGACATTTTAGCCCCACACTGGGAGCGCTTACAAAAAGCTGGCCGCTGTGCCATCGAGAGAAGAAGAAGAGGACACAGTGAGCGTATAACTGGGAGAAGAAGAGTAAAGAAGGGGTTTTTAAAATATTTTTTATATTTTTGAAAGGGGGAAGGGGAGGGGAGGGGAGCGGGCTGGAAAAAACAGAGAGTAATCTGGATGGGGTGAACTGGGACAGAGTAACTATACGTGAAAAAGCAAAATGAAGACAAGAAGGAGCTTCTTAACCAGATCTAGCGGAACAGCAAGAGCGAAAAGAGCCCAAGGGACAGCAAATGGCGGTTGCAAGCAGACTGGGGAAATGGCAGGCACTCTGCCCATTTATACTATGGGGAGGGAGAGTGCGGCGTTCCCGCCAAAACCGTTAAAACCTGTTTAATCTTCCTGGCAACAGGCACTGTGCAGGTGCAGCACCCATAATGTGTGAATGCACAGAGGCCACAATGAAGAAACATCAGAGCAGTTGTTAGAAGATAACCCCTGAGAAGTGGCTGTTGAGCTGGTATAGCAGCAGGTCTTAGCTGTCATCCTCAGCTACTTCCTTGTCTCATGGAATCTTCCCTTGGGGCTGTGGATAGTAGATGGCTGGGGAAGGCAGGGAAAGTCTGGCTGGAGCAGGTCCAAGGCCTTTAGATGCACCTAGCAGCTCTTTATACAGAAGAGCAATTGACTTGTACAAAGACAGAAAAACAGCACTAGATTTCAGTTGCTCGTGGACCCTGTTAAATCAGGAAATGTTAAAAATAAATATTTCCTAAATAAGGAACATGACAGTATCATAATGTAATAATTAAACCACTCACAAAATATCCTGAATTGCCTGATGGAAAAGCTCTGTTGTGTGATCTTATACGGTCCTCCTCCAGGCGTCTCCCCTGAGAGGGGTTTGGCGAACAAGAAGGGAAAAGGCGCTTTTGCTGGTGGACAATTTTGAATTATCTCCCCAGTGAGGTCTGCCTGGCCCCAACACTGTCAATCCTGGGCATGGAATTAAAATCTTCTACTCTCATACTCGACAGTACACGATCAGGGTTTAACTATTCCTCAGATTGCTTTTGTCTGTAATGTTCTGATATTAGGTTACATATTGCATTTTAAAGGTTTTAATCTTTTGTAAACCACCTAGAGAGCATTGACTAGAGTAGTATAGAACTGATAATAGCAGTAATGCTAACAGATTCTATGGGAAAAGGTGGCATTCTAACACACACACACACAGGAGTAAATCTCATTGGGATTAACTTTGGAGTCAGTATACATATAGACCTGCACTGTATAAAACTGAAAAGGGAAAGTATTTGGAATGTTTTTCTCTTCCACATTGGAAATATAGAGCTAATAGGTAAAAGGAAACAATACAAGACTTGCAGCACTGGAAGTACTAGATTTATTGTGACTCTACATCCATGTAGACTTACGTCACAATAAAGCTGTTATACCTCAATCCTATGCACACTCAGAAGTAAGTCCTATTGTGTTCCCTGGGTACTTTGTCCCAGGTATTATCTCAGCCTGTCTTTCAAGGTGCTACACAACTCATCCTTCTTTTGCTGCCTCTGCATAAAAGGACAGGGAGTAAAGCTCTCATGTACTTGCAGGCCCTCAGAGAATCAGCTTTTCAAGATTATTTGCATTTAAAAGCATCTAATCATACACAGCTAGGGACAAAAGGAGTCCACACATTTCATTCATTTATTATTCTCTGGTGCATTTAGCCCAGCACTCTGCTCTGTCTGATTCTGGCTTTAACAAAGATAATTTCTAAGATTGATTGCAGAAGTGTTCCATTAACTACATTTTTTCATTCTATGCATTTCCACCTTCCACCCCTGCTATGCTTCTGATGTGCACAGATAAAATACTGGAAACAAGGCAATACAGTACTATGTGATACTGCACTGACTTTCTTCTTGTGCAGTGTTTTACAAGGGCACATGCGCACTGTCACATTAGTAAAGTGGGCACCACCTAAAAGGGATCTTAATACATCAAGTTTGCCTTTTTGTAGGCAATGCTCTTGGATGTCAGTAGATCACAGAAGGAGCACTCTGGATTATTGTGAATGCCATTCCATCCAGGCTGATGGCTTGAATGGATTTATTGAACTGCATGTTCATCTCAACACGGAACTTTCGGCATGCAAGGGGGATATTATGCTTTGGCTTTTTTCCCAGCATGAATGTAATGGAATCCACAGGCCTATTAGCAGCTTCACATTTTGTCAGGCACCTACATTGTACTTTTCCCAATTCCAGGAAATCTGCCTTATTTTCCCAGGAATTTTAATAATTCAGTCTCTATTGTTTAAAAATTTCATCTTGGTTTAAATCTTTGTACTTCTGCTCAGCTTCACTGTGGATTTTACTTCTATTTTATAATGAAATTTTGTTTTTATGCTTTATTTTATTGTGTTTGTTACCTATTTAAGTGTTGTGAATCACCTAGAGGGCTTTGGCTATTGGGCAGCAAAGACATGTAAAAAATGAATAGATATCTAAGTATCAATAATTATTTTATTGTGAACAAGAGGAACCAAGAATTGCAACCAGCTTTGCATGTACAACATTCTGTACAACATGGGGATTTTTAAAAATAAAACATAATGAAATATTCTAAATACATCAAGTCTGTTTTGGAAAAAATATCAAATTATTCAGAATGTCAAAATGCAGAGAGAATGTCAAAAGCATTCACATATATAGCTTATTTGAACAGGTTTGGTCTCAGAGAGTCGTACATTTGCAGACATGTGCTGCATGAAGACCTGCCAAAAGAATGGAAGAAGGGCCATGCTGGATCAGAGCAAAAGCCTATGTAATCCAACATTGTCTTTCTACCCTGAGCTACCAGGGATGCTCAGGAGCAGGGGGATGAATGCCACAGCACTCTCGAGCTTATGTCCTGCACTATCTAGCAAGGGGAGTTGTCCTGCTGCTGATACTGGAGGTAATATCCAGCCATCATGACTCATAGTCAGGAATTGGTGTGTCCCTGTGGTGCCTTCTTTGAAAGGCAGAGTGATCCCACCTCGAGGACTTGTTTTGCTGTTCCTCCAAATAGGATTCCTACCCAGAGATACCTGCATCCCAGTTAGAAGCACAGAAAAAGAGCGAGTCAGAGGAGGTCTCCTGGGCCATCTAGTCTGACCCTCGGGTCCAGCCAGCTCTGCTCATGACATGCCTACCATATCAAGCCTATCCTTGAACACCCTTGCTGATGGGGCTTCAACCACCTCCCATGGAAGCCCATTCCATACCCTAGGGGTCCTAACTGTTGGGAGTACTTCCTGGCATCTAAATTGAACCATGGTTCCCTGAGCTTTACTCCACTGGAAGGCATCCTTCCTTCCCCTGCAGGGGAAAACAGGTCTCTACCCACCTCCATGTGAGACCCCCTCACGTACCTATATGTCACAAACAGATCCCCTCAGAGTCTCCTCTTCTCCAGGCTGAAAAGACCCAGCTCTCTCAGTTGTCTCCATTCCAGTAGGTTTCTATTGTGCCCACTAGGTCTATATTCTCTGTTAAATTGAAGCACTGCAATTCCTTCATGTCAGCTTGCAGGCAACTAGTATTCATGGGACAGATGTGACTGACCTGTATTTTTTCCTCTATGACCCTTTTTGACCAACTCTTGGGTTCTACTTCATGGTAAATGGCCATTAACAAAAATCAATAAATGGAAACATTTATTCTTTTTTGGTAGGTATTTATTCTATCATTGTGGCACATTACGTAAAGACACCACTGGACAAGACTTATCCACCACTGGATAAGATTTTTACCTTCCATAAAATTAAGGCAAGTGTATTTTAAAGTGTTTAAATAGGTAGACTTTTTCCTTCTCAAGTGAAAAAGCAACCATTCGTAAAATGGTAACATAGTGCCACCTACTGACCATAAATGTTCTTGCAACTTGGTATGACAAATTGAGTATCACCATGTAACAAATTTTACACTGCACATTTGGCACAAGTTTTACGTACAATAATTATATTCTCTCTGGAATCTCTCTGGAGAAGCCTTGTTTCCTTTATATTAGGGTTTTCCTGACACTGAACTTTTTAAAAGGGAATTTATTATTGATGATTTGATTTGGATTCCAGTTGCATTAAAACATACTTTTATAAATATATATTCTGTGTATATAACACTGTAATGAATTTTGAATGGGTGGAAGGATCTTTGGGTTCCATTTGCTTTGTGTAGGCACAGCCTTGCTTTTGAAGAAGTGAAACTGTTTTCTAATAGAATCTAAAAAATATCTATTTTACAATATTGCATCAAATTTTAAATTTTACTTGCAAGCAAATAATATGGTAGACACTCTTCTCCTCTAAACTGCTTACTATAAAATATATGGCTTTTAATGTTTTCATTCCACATTAGTGTTTTTTTATTTTTTGTTTTTTGGTAGTCAGTGAAAATATGTTAAAAGCACAGAAACCTGCTTGTGCACGTCCAATAAAGCCTTTGCGTCTTGTGGTAATATTACTAAAGGCAGTGTTGATTATTACTATTATTTTTCAAAAAAAAGCAGTAAACGTTGCTCATCTCCTGCATATTGTCACAATACTATCATACAAAATTTTTGCAGAATATACAATCATCTGAACTGCAGATACATAAATACATCTTAGCAACATCAAGGCTGTCGTTTTATTGTACATACAGCTTATATTTTACAAAGTGGTCAGGGCTGGAATTGTCATCACATTTTTCCTTCTTGCTATGATTACAAAACCAGAAAAAAGGCTTCATAAATTCTACAGTGCTTTTAAAATTCTGTATAAAGTGAGCATAGTTTTTTTATTTTTCGTAAAAATAAAAATTAAAAGACTTTTGCTTGGTATAAAACAAAGCTGGAGTCCAGGTCCCAGTGCCCTTTCTTCTCTAGCTGGGGAAAGTTTGGACACTGCTTCACCTCTACTCATACCAATGTTTCGGGAAGAGCGTCTGGATTGTCTGGTGATAAAATCTCCCAAATTTGCCACCGATCCCTCTGCCAGTCATGCCAGTCAGGCTCGGCCAAATTGTTACTGTTCTGCTCACTGTCTGCAGTGGGGCCCTCCCCCTCCACGTGGTCCTGCTGCTCCTCACACAGGGCCGGCTGCTCAGGCACTTGAGTCATGACTCTTGCTCCCGCAGCCCCTGGGCGAAGGTCCGGCCTGCGAGGCCTCCACAGTGCATGCTCGGCTGCCTGGAGGGGAGAGGTGGAACCTGGCCTTGCTTTGTCAGGGTAAGGTGGCGGCGGCCTCTCTTTCCGAAGGCCTTCAGCTTGCTTCAGGTGCCATGGCTTTGATGAACTGTGCCAACAAGTGACATCCGTATCTCGCAGAACTAGATGCTCCGTATCACTCTTTGGCAACTGTTGCTCTGAACTGGACTGGCTGGAATTCCTTCTGCCGGCTATTTGTGGGGTGCTGCAAACTCGAGACAGGGGGAGATGAGGACGGTATTCAGGAAGGGCGGCTGTAGTTTGACTCCTTCGGATTATTTGTTTCCCGTTATCTAGCTCTGTGTTGCTCTCCTGCCACTGGGGGGAAGGCAGTGATAAGTTCCCTTGAGAAAGAGAGCACTGCCCTGGCCGCAGTGAGCTGCTCTCGTAGATGTCTCCATATGACCCTAGAGGGCAGCGCAGAAAGATCATCAAGACAGGATGTACCTGAGCGCCATCCTAGCAAGAGCAACAGAATTACAGGCACGAGGATCTCACACCATACATAGGAGAATGGTATTTAGACAGGGTCCTGAGTATTATAAACCAATGACCTCAACACTTACATTGCTGTTGTGTATAAATTTCTCTAGAATAGTATAATCTGCCTTGATTAAGAATGGTTAATTAATATTTCAACCTATCGAAGTCAACCTATCCAAACTGGGTGCCCTTTCAGATGCACAGGACTATAACCACCATTAGGAGATGATGGGAGTTCTAGTCCAGGACATTTGAAAGGGTACATGGCTGGGAAAGGCTGGTGTAGGACTGTAAAAAGGAGTTGATTCTCAATTTAGAGTGCTGGAAATAAAAATGCAATATGGTTACTCTCAAGTGCTGACTAACATTTTAAACGTTAAATTATCACTGATTTACAAAGAACAGGTTCAGAGAAATATGTCAGTCAGAACCATTATTTCAGGATTCAGCATCTCCTGATGATACTGATCAGTACGTTTTCTACAGAATACATCCCCTCCATGCAACAAAATGTGGCAGTGACTATTTGCTTGGATGGCTTCAAAAATTCCCAGGAACAGCATCCAGTGCTGTCACAGTGCAAGCATAACCAGGACTAGCTCAGTGACATTAGCTCTTCCAAGAAAAAGATGTGATTTACCACCAAATTTAGTGGCAAAGTGTGCTGCTGAAACTTGGCAGCAAATGACCAAGTTTTCCTTGGCACTTTTTCTCTCGCCTAGCAAGCACTAACAATATACCTCTGGCACTGGGTTATATTAGCAACTTGACAGCATTGGATACTATGACTTGACCCATCTGCTATGAATCTTGCCTTTCCACAGCTATTAGTCATAATGGCTATACAAATTCCTCCAGTTAATAAATGTACCTTTCATTGCCAGAAATCAAATAAGGGGCAATGGATACTACTGATCATAACCTTCAAGACCATCTGGCTGGATGTTGTTGAAAACCTTACCTAACTAGACTGACCTGAAGATTATTTTGCAACAACAACAAGCATTGTTTAATAGATGGGGCTGGAGGCCAAGACCTGCCTTCTGTTTTAGGAAAGACTCCACTCATGGAATGTGGCTCTGATTGTCAAGAAGAGTTTCTCACTCCACAGCTTCCCCTTCTTGAACCCCTTTCTGCCCCTCTGGGAAGCATTTTAAGGGGCTGGAGAGGCTGCTGTGCTGAGACAATGTTGGGGGGAATCTGCTTTTATCACACCTATATATTCTCTAGCTCTGACGGGGGCAGCCAGTTGACTCCAGACTTGCCTCTGGTGTGAGTCAAAACCTTGTTCACCTGAGAAGCCCAAAGCCACATCATGAATAGAAAGGAGGGGGTGAAATTAGCCAAAGTGCAGGGAGAGGATTAAAGACCATTTAAACATGCTCTGTTTATTTCATGGGGAGGGGGGGCAGCTAGACAGCAGAGGCAGCTTTAGCGGCCACTTAAGCACAGAAAAAAGTGGATGGCTCCCAAAAGCCAGAGTCTGGGAAGGATGGCTGTTGTCTGTGCACCTCCTGATATTGGAACGTGAGGCAGGGAGAAAAAGAGAGCAAGAGCGAGAGACAAATGTAACATAAGGCACAGTCAGAGGCAGAAGTAGAAAGTATGAGTAGATTAACTCTTGATCCTTTCCCCCATTAGACTGGCTTGCTTTGTCTTGCTCTTGTGTGCCTTTTAACTGGAGTGCAGTAAGTTTTTATAGACAAGAAGACTTCTGATTGTTGTTCAGTACAGATTCCCTGTTATGCCTGCCCAGAAGAAGAGCAGCCCCCTTTGTTTTCCCTCGTGTGTGTCATAAAAACACTGAGCACCAGCAAAAACTGGCAGCTGCAGCAAAGGCTATCCACTAGTGGGGGCTGCAGGCCTAACAGCAACCCATAAAGTAGACACCCCCCCCCCCAAGAACTGGACAGTTGTTTCAAAGCTGTGCCCCTTCCTGTGACCTGAGCATAAGAGGAAGCCAACTACTCTAGACCCTGAATCCACTCGAAAGCCATCTCTGATTTTCCTGATCCATCATGATGTTAAACCACGTTATGCGAATACTGATCCTGTGGATACTTTTCAAGTCATGAATGATTGCCATCCTATTGCAGTATTGTAATACTGTAATGTGAATGGTCATTTCATGCCATATCACATAAGTATATTTAAGCAACGGTGAAATGTATACCTGTCATTTCTCGATCCTTGGAACCACTTTTCAGCGTTGAATGCCAGGTTCCCCAGATGTCAAAATAGTCTTCTGAAACATCTACAGGATGAGAAGGAACATTACAATGACAAGCCTTCAGGAATTCTCCGGTAGAGACACAGAACAGAAATGATGTCTGGGCTCCAAAATACGCCTTTAGTTTCCACTGGATTTTTTTTTCTTTTAACAATGGATCCCTACATCTTCACAATGAAATGTCTTACAAAAAAGGCATGACATGCTGCACAGGGGGCCCTTTTCTAAGTAAAGCAAACTCCCGACGGATCCCAGAACTATTTCTTCATTTCTTGAATTCTGGCCCAAACAACTCTCACCAGAAAAGTATGAAATCGCTTTTTCAAGTTGCAAAGCAAGGCAAAACTCAAGGCTAAAAGTAGCAATTCTGTCCTGAGGTCCCACTGAATGTATTTCTCAGTAGCAGGCTTTTGAACTTGTATATAAAAGATGTCTCTATGGTATGGATGTCTTGGTGAAAATATTTAGCACAACTATATCAAGGACACACAGATATTCAGAATCAGAAAAAGGCACAAATACGATTATCTTAGTTTAATTTGGAAATATTTCTACATGGATGAATGGAATGTATTAGACTCCAAAAATACAGCCTAGTAACCACAAATCTAATGGCCTTTGTAGGTCACTCCCTGTACCTAATATATGGGACAAATAGGAATCTTTTTTATTTTTAGGCTGTTTCTCTTCTGCCCCATGTCATTTGTGCTATGATGTTTCTCAGTGTTACAACTTGTCTCCCTTGCTATTTAAGATCAGTATTAAACTACAGGAAAATAACATCCAAGTGTTATTCAGTATGCTAATAACAAGCCATACTTTTCTCTTTTAATAAAGTCTAGGTGATGCAGTATAGATTCTTAAATCTATGCAGAGTCTGTAATGGGCCAATTGAAGATGGGTAAACTGAGGTTTAACCAGATGGGGTTAACTAGCTAAGTTTAACTGGATACACTTGGCCAGAAAACAGAGCAAGAAGGTATTGAATTCCCTTTAAAATATCATACTTATTATGTATGACTTTGCAGATGGAGAGGCAAGTGCCCTCCATAGGCTTCAGCCACTTTGGAAGGCCCAGCTTTGACTTTTCCTGAAAAATTCTGGCTATCCAAGTTAGATTACTGTAAGGCACACCATATGGGTTGCCCTGTAAAGACTTCTCAGCAATTTCAGCTGGTGCGGGATACAGCTGTATTGAGTGGTTTTGGGTCAAACACCTAGATTGCTTTGGCTATTAGGCAGTATAAAAATGCAATAATCAAACAAATAAAATAGCTGAAAGACTTTTAATGAACAGAAATAAGCATGTGTCTACTTCAGAGTTCAGTGATTAGCAGGTCATTTGGATACAAGTCAAAGTGTGGATTTTAATGCTTAAAACCCTGCAAGAAATGTTTCTTTGTTTGCTGAGCATTCTTTGACATTTTATTCTGTTTCCCTTTTTATTCTGTATTTTCTGTTTATATATGTTATACAGGAAAATAACTGTATTTTTTTTTGTGTGAGAGTTATTGTGGGTACCCTTTCAAGATCAAAAAGCAGACCTAAATAACTTTACAAACAAAATACGATTTTTAAAAGTGCTTGAGTGCTTTCAAGCTTGTATCTGGAAGATCTGCTACTCCTGTATAATTCTTCCATATTAATGTCATCATTGAAGGCTAGATTTGGGTTGCTTCTACCTACTGAACACTCAGGGGAGTAGCCAGAAGGAGCAAGGCAAGGTCTTTAGTGGTGACCTTTCACTGTGGGACTTCCTTCCTCCCTCACCTCCCCTGACACCAAACTTGTTCCTTAATCACCAGATTAAAAACCAGTCTGTTCTCCCAGGCTGTAAAAGGCTTTTAACTGGGCTGCAGCAATTTGCTGCTGGAAATGGTTGTTCCACTTATTGACATGAATGTGTTCAACAGCAGAGCTCTGATTCCATCCTCTGGAGGGAACTAACTGAATAACTCAGCCAGGACAGGGTCACAGAAACAACATGCCAGGATGTCTCTCTTACCAAATGGAATGAAATATATCATTAACTGTGGTTAGCTTCCACAGAAGGGTGCCCAGAAACAACATGAAGGAGTAATAACACCGCACAGCAAATAATTCACAATGAAATGACTAATACTGACATCTGACCTAGCTTGTGTGCTGGATCATACCTTTCCCAAACCACGATCCGAGGGAATTCTCTCTTGATTTTGGCTGAAAACTGCTGACCAATGTGCATTGTTCTGGTACTTTAAATAACTTCTCAGAATTGAGGGATGTATCTTCTTGCATTGCCAAAAGAGACCGTTCCGAGAGCACTGGAGAATTGTTGTCATAAGGTGAGATGTCACCACTTGACACTCGATTTGAATCTATGGATGAATGTCTCCCTTCCATGGAGAATGACACCTCTGACTGGAGCATTTCAGGACTTCTGATAAAATTTGACATACAAGCCTGAATTAATGAAGTGTAGCCTATGTGAACAACAGCACATTTCAACAGCATGGAGGCAGCATAAGGCCACAGATGCAGCATGAAAGCGCATTTATAACAATGATGAAATTGTTTCTACACTACATGAGTAAAAAACACACTGCCACAAACTATACAAGGCAATAAACACAAATCAATACATGTTGCAATAAAAACATTTTCGGTACATAATAAGGGAAAATTATAATTGGAAGCAAAACTTACTTCTTGTGTTACACTGGTTGTTTTACTCCGTGATGAGATTATTTAAGTCAAAGCACTTAAATAAGCATTTCTCTGATGCAAATGGCTATACATCCAGGTTACTGTGCATGTGCGCATTTGGGTTATTAGATTTGAAATAAATACTTAATAAAGCAGTGTAACACAAGAAAAGCTGAGAGCAAAAAGAAGGCACTCACTGAAATACTGCACAAACAAGCTTGCAAGTCCCTTACCTTAAATATGTTTTGTGCCATTCTATTTCTTCTCAAAAATAATCACTGATAAGTACTTAAAAAGGGCCACTGTTTTAAATAGGATTTTAAAAAGAATCCTGATTTCAGCTTTGGTTGCTCAGTTTTATGTTAATATACTGTGGACAGCTTAGTACAAGGAGGAAGGAAATCCAAAAAGAGATGGCCATCCGGCAGAACTAGAGGCTAGAAGTGTTATCTAATGCTCAGGACTGAACTTTTATCTTGACAGAACCGTACCAGACCAGGCACCTTTTGTTCCATGTTCCAGTGAAGAAAAAGGAGCAACCGTGAGGCTACTAGCTAAAAGCCTAGAAGTCAAAAAGCATTTGTTGCAACATCAAGAGAAAAGGCCGAACAGCAGTAAGCATATTTTACAAGTAGCTGTCTTTTAAAAGACAATCATTAGAAGAGCGAGGTGTTGAAGGAGTTCTCACGCGTTTTGCTATGGAGCCAAATATTCTGATGCTGGACTTGTGTTCACTTCTGGCTGAGGCGTTTCAAAATTGTCTGTGCGATTGGTTTATCATCCATAATCAAGCAGAGTTGGGGTAGTCCCAAAAATGTGTGGTTATAGGTTTTGGTGGCTTATTCTGTTGATAACTACATGTGTGTCTCACTTTTAATTTTCTGGTTCCGACTTTTCATTTGAAAAAGAAAATAACCTCGTTAATATGTAGCTATCTCTTCAAACTGGAATATAAACAGGCCACGTCTTATGAACAGCGCATTCCTTTCATGCTGAACGACTGACTGTCCCTCTAATCTTCTAGCCAAATTCTTTCCCATGACTTCACGGTTACAGCTGGAAACATGCTAACATCAAAACATATAAGAAGTGATTCTTGGGGTGCCTCATGATAAATATGTTGCCAGGTAAGCAGCAGCTTTTACAAGTAGCAGAACAAGAATAAAGTGACAGTTCCCCCATCCATCTCAGACACATGTCAATTTTGCATGATTGAGATGCGTAGCACAGTCACTGGTGCCTTCTATTCTGTATGGCCACAATTTCGTTCTACCCCGTTTCAAAGAAAAGTTAGGAAAGGTGTATCTCCTATCTCCTGCTTGAGGCATAGACAGAACTAAAGGACATTTCAAGGAAATGCCAGCATATTTGTCAGATAATACTGATGAACAAATCCACATGGAAGTCAGTTACAAGTTATTGTCTGAGGTGCCTAGGTGAAATGATGTGAAACTGAACCTTGTCCAAAAACATTTGGGATTATAATGTACTTTGTAATTGTGCTATTACTATTTTAATTGTATTATTACTCTACTATTGGGATTTTGACATCTGACATGTTGGAACTCATTGGAAACACTCATCATGGTCATGATACAAATGTTCCCAGTACAGCTCCTGTATGATTTGGCTACACTTCTACAGGTACCATTCCATATTCATAGTTTTGTCTATTTTACTCTGCTCTGCACTGGGATTTCCTTGTCTTCAAGGAACAGCTGGACCATGGCAACATGATACAGGTGAGCAGAATCCCATTCAATACATATGGATCTAACCAGGCCACATCAGCATTTTCTGCTTTTCACAGACATATATGGCCTGGTTCACACATAACAGGAAACCATGTTTATTTAACCCATACTTAAGCCATGGTTGTTGCTTTATACTGGTAGAGTATCTGGTTTTTGTTGAGGTTTTTACCACTCTTCACTGCTTACTCTGTAGTCTATATTGTAATCTGTCCTGAGACAATTGGATTGCATAGGACATAATAAATAAATAAAATTCTAAATAAAATAAAATAGTCTGGCAAAACAATCCATCAACAGTACTGGGTGCCCATGTCATAAAACCCATGGTTTGAACAGCACATATTTCACAATCCAACAATAAACCATTAGTTCTCTTTTTCAGGATTAACAAAGCATAGTTTGTCATTATGACCATGTTTGTTCATCTTGATAACCCAGGATTCAACAACCCATATTACAGGGTAATGTCTCCTACAAAGCAGGTCACTGTTAAACATGCTCAACAACAGATGAAATCAATGTTTTAAAATATCCTGCCTATTAGGAAAAATAAATACAAACAGCATTGACTGATCCTGAAGATACTATAGCTGCAACTATTCCTGTAAAATTAAAGTCACTGTTCTTTCTTTCTTTATAAAGTAACATTTCAGTCAGTATAGCTATAATTCTGAAAAAAGCACCTTTTGAATTATTAAAACAGAAAATTCCAATTAAAAGAAAGGAAGAGAAATTACTCACGATGACTGGGAAGCTTTTCTTCTCAGCAAATAGTCTACAACATCTGGGTCAGTTTCAAGCAGACTAATCAAAACTTCATTTTGAAGGTCAGCAGGAACCTGTGTATGATTGAAGCATCAGAGCAGTGAATGCAGAATCATGTATCATTGTGTTGGTTAATTTAAATTGATGTCATGAAGGAAACAAAGGACAGATGATAAGCTATGATGATAAACTGCTATTTGCATAGAGTAAATGCTGAATAAAAAATTGGTATAAGTATTTGCATGGAAATCACAGTCCTTTGGTCCCCAGAAGAGCATCCCAGGAACCACAAGATTGTTTGGAGAACTCTTCCTATGGGTGCTATGCACTTGTGTGTGTTTGGTGGGGGGTCTGAGTTCCAGCGGCCCCCCTCTCCCACCCCTTCAGACAGAACTACACTAGCTGCTTCCCCAAGTCACAAGTACAGCTTTGGAGAGAAGGAAAAATGGGCATTCTAGTGGGAGAGGAGAAGAGAGAAGAGGAAGGGAGAAGCCAGGATACAAGCAATCTTGTGCTTTCTCCAGTCCTGGTCCAGTCCCCATGATCATTTTTCTCTAGAGAGAAAATATTTAAGAGGAGGATGGAAAAGTACAAACCGCCTCCACTGCTCCTCCTGCCCTGTGTGCAGCAGCTCAGCAGGACACCAAATACTTGGAGTCTCAGGGATTGGTTCTTTTTCCATTCCACTTTTTTCGCTCTGCTTTTCCCCACTATAAATGCACAACTGCACAAGGTTGTGATGCTAGCAAGATAAAGTAATGCTCATTTTAAGCTAAGCATAACTTGTGTTGACACTGCTCTTATTGATTGTTCAGGCAGCTACCTACCAATATTAGGCATTATTGCTAGATGTTTCATTTTGTCTAAAATGCTATCACCCACCTTGAATATGAAAAGATGGGTGTGTGCAGTGATCCCCATGCCTTCTATCACACTATCGGTTCTTCATTTGACATGCTGTTTTTAACCTTCTCCCTGTGATTTTATTTGGCATACACAACTCTTGACCTTTTAATAGTTGCCCAGTCCTTGCTAGTCCTTGCCCAGTCCTTGCTAGAACCCGTCCTGGAAGTGGTATTTCTTTGTTTGTGTGTTGTTCTGTTGCACAACAATTTGGAAATTCTGGGAAGATAGTTTTGGGGGAAGGAAGCACTAGGCAAGGGGCTTGTGGTCCTACAGATGTTTTGGGAAGCAACTGTCCTAGTCCTTCACCATTAGCTCTAATGGCTAGGACTTATGGGAACAGCTGCCTTAAACAGCTGCCTCTGGAGGGCTACAAGTTGCCCACCCCTGTACTAGATAATAAGTCTCTTTCAGAATGCTGCTCTCATTTCTAAAGCATGGTTTTAAAAACAGCATGACCACTTGTGCCCTTTGACATTCAAGATCTGATTGTGTTTCCCCAGACAACAAATCCATTAAAAACAAGCAATGCAATGCTGGCAGAGACAAGATTGCATATAATCAGTTGTTTGAGGTATTTAATCACAACATTAATACCTTTGATTACATCTTTGGTTTGTGTACTTAGGATTAGGTATACTTTCCCTTTTTGAATGAAAATAAACATGATAAGACCTGTTTCAAAACTCATGTGCTTCAACTGCACACCTGCATGGATATTTGGTGCCAAGTTTCTCTAGCTGTCACATGGTCCTGACAACAGAACCCACTATATCCTATTACTATGTGAGGCATATCAGATGTGTCCACAATGTCAGAAGAATATGTAATCTATCTGGGAAAACAATCTCATGGAAGGACTTTTAACATGTTGTAATCCTATTCTCATTTCCATGGGAGTAAGCTCTACTCAACATAGAGACAATATGCCTCTTGACACCAGCTGCTAGAGAGCACGAGTGAACAAGCACTGTTGCACGCATGGCCTGCCTGCAGCCTTTCCATGGCCATTTGGTTCACCACCATAGGAAGGGGATGTTAGACCAGGCAGACCTCCAGGGTGATGCACCATAGCCCTCCTGTTCTTATGACTTCTCTCTGAACAAACATGCCAGCAGTTGTGCTGAAATGGAGCTAGATAGTCCAATGTAAATTCTCCTTAAAACTTATTTTCTTTTCAACTTCTCAAACATGTGTGACTTGGACTACCATGTCAGGGCTGGTTCTCCCATGAGATGGGGTGAAGTCCCTGCCTTAGGCTATGGAACAGGCAGGGTAGCTGATTGCCCTACTCTCTTTTGTCCCTACCAGGACAAACTTGCTGCTGCCTCCCAACAGATGCCTGGAGAACCACATCAGCCACTTGTCCACTATAATATTTATTGGGCCAAGAGTGTTCTTGCAGCAGTGTTCTTCAGAGTAGCCACCTTCTAGAAAACCACATCAGCTTATGAAGGAGTGGACAGGGCTCTTCAGAAAGCAGGTCAGGCAGAACACCTGGCTCTGAGGAGTCCTTGGAAGATTTTTATTTATTTATTTAGATCTCCTGGGATTGTCCTTAGAGTCAGGAATTTATGGAGAGGTGAGCAGTGGGATAAGAATACTGTTCATACTGAATTTTTGAAAAGAATCAGGTATTTTGTACACTTTGGAACAATTGTTACTCATTTCCATTTTCCCAGTTTTTCCTCTTTCCCTTATCCTCTTGCACAAAGAGAGTTCCAATGAGAATCAAGGCAGCTGACATGTTAACCCCTGAAACAGGCTATATTTTTTAAAAAAATCATTTTGCATTACATGAGAATAACCTGGTACTTATTGAATGAATGAACTTGCAGACAGAACAGCACACCCAAAACCATCCTGGTTTGATTCTATTCCACAGAAAACTATCTGCTGTACTCTGGTCTATATCATCCTGACAACTTATCTAAAAAAATTACATATACTTCTTGTGAAATACTCTTAAAATAGCACTATCTACGTGCATCTCAGAGAGCACTTGTAAAGTATGTTGCTTTGCTGCAGTTTTAAACAAGAATATATGCAAGACCGATGTCTGAATATTTACTATTGTGTTAAATCACTAGCAGATTATTGGTGCTAATCCATTTAAGAAATGCAAACAATCTCCAGTAAAAATATGTATTCATCCTGACAAGCAGAACCATCCTGACCTGACAATAAACCCATGCAGTAGGCCAAATATCACATTCTGTTCTACTGGATTTTATTTTGGAGATCTTGCTCCAGTTTCAAGTGCTGAAGCCATTCACAGCTGGAAGAACGAGAAAAAAACTTGGCAGTGTCACATTTAAGTTGTACATTGTGGATCCATACTCTTGTCCAAATGTTTCTTTATTTGAAACTAGTACAAATGTCAAAGCCTTAACTATAAACAGCAGCCCTGGCCTCTTCCCACTCTTTTAAAGTTTGAAAAACAATTTGCTGCTGCTTGATGGGGAACAATCAGAGTTGGTTACAATAAAATCTGCAAGCCTATTCCTAGCCTTTTACCAGCCTTGAAAATAACGTGTAGCACAAATTTGGAGAATTCAGAGTTTGTGTTTCTCCTAGACAGAATGTTAGGAGCAAAGTGAAAACATCACCTTACTGAGATGATTTCTTTTTTTGGAGGGGGGGAGGGGTAAACAAAGAAATAAGCACAAACAGCCAGATGTAGATATGTTCTTCTGTGAGGGCTAACTTAGGACAGAGCTTTCTCCATTGAAGCAAGTCCCATCAGTAAAACACTGGCACAAACAGGAAGAGTTTCTCCAGAGATGCTTTTCCATTGTACATATCTGATGTCAAACTGACACACATCCGTAGTACTCTCTAATTATAAACACATCATTTGAAATGGTATCTTGTTCCCTTGCATCCAACAAGCCACTTAGTTTGGCCTTCAAAACAGCAAGATATTTATCAGCAAAACTGGTCCAAGGAAGAGACAAAACAATTTTACAGTACTAATTTTAAGCTTCAGTTCAAAATGAAGCAAGAAATAAACAGCAGAATAAAAGGCTAAGAAAAAAGCTACAGCAGAAAAAAACTCTATGCTCAGGGTGAATAAATAAAAACTTAATCTGGACAAGACATTCCAGTGGGTTACAAGGGGAATAATGTCATAGGGATTCAACCTATGCTGGATGGGATTTGAAGACTCAGGTTCACAATATGGGTGTTAGACATGAATCTGAATATCGAAATCCATTCAGCAGTCAGTTTGCACAGATCAGGCAAGTGTGCCAAGTGGCCCTATCCTCTCCTCTCCTCTCCTCTCCTCTCCTCTCCTCTCCTCTCCTCTCCAGTGAAGAATCTTGAATCATTATGGAACTATTATAATTCTGTAACTATTAGAACTGTGCTTCCATAGGGTAAGATCATTGCACAGTAATAGACCAAGGAATGAATTTATTACCAAGTGGAAAATCTTGTTACACTATCATTGACATACCATAAAAAGTGTTTCGTAGTTTTCTATCATCTTTTGTACAACTGCGATAATGGCTGTACTCTCTTCAGCTCGTGCTGTACTTTGAACTGTGAATTCTTTGTCTGTTGTCTTCTGCTTGTGCAAGAGGTTAGGTCCAAAAATAGTGGCTAGGTTGAGTGATGTCATTTTGTTTCCAGGTATCTTTGGAGAAGAATGAAACAGAATAAGTTAGGGCATTTAACTCTAGAAATAGCTACTCAGTATTTTGTGTAGACTAAATTCTGTTTAGGCTAAATGTCTTTGCCTAACTGTATTAGGATCCTGCATTATTTGAGAAATTAAAAAAAAAATCCAATTTGTTCCTAGTATGTCAACACAACATTGTTTGCTCACTCTAAGCTTGTCATCAGTGTAGCCATATTCATTAATCAAGGATTCTTGAAGATCAGCAACACAACTGACTCTGGTATTCAAACAATTTAAAGGCTGATCTACCTGTTATATTTATCATGCAGAAGTTTCTGAAATAGCTTTCTTCTAGATGCTTTTCATGCCCAAACTATGTGGTTTAAATTAAATCTGACATGGACAGTTTCTACTCCTGCATTAGTGATTAGTGAAACTTGCAATGCTGAACTGGAAAGCTCCCAAACATGATATGCAGAAAGAGAAAAATGCCATTTGTACTTGTTGAAAAATAAAGGATGTTACTATCTTAATGACCAGTAGAACATTCTTTAAAAGAATACTGAACTTTGCACAGCCTTGTCCATGTTTTCAACCTAGCAATAAGCGAGGCAGCAACCCTAGTAATAAGTGAGGCAGTCTGGCTTAATAAACTATAATGTGAATAATCAGTATGATGATACATGCAACCTGTTTGCTCATCTCTTTGTACAAGTAGGAAAAGCACCTGACTGAAAAGGCTGTTTTTATAAAGCCTTACGTGGCTTGGGAGCACCATATCTGATGGAACCTTCTCCTGGCCTGAATCTATCTAGGTCTAATATGATCAACATCAAAAAATTTTTTCCCAAGTGCTGTTAGATCCCTGATTATGATGGCATTACCTCTCCACTAAGACCTGTCTGGGACTGCAGATGGTGCAGTGATTTAAACTGCTGTACTGCTAGGCTGGTTGATCGAAAGGTTGCCAGTTCGAATCTGCACAACGGAGTGAGTTCCCGTTGCTCTGTCCCAACTCCTGCCAACCTTGCAGTTCGAAAGCATGCAAATGCAAGCAGATAAAAAGATGCCACTTCAGTGGGCAGGTAACAGCATTCCGTGCAATTTGGTGTTTAGTCATGCCGGCCACATGACCACGGAGATTGTCTGCGGACAAACGCTAGCTCCCTTGGCTAGGAAACAGAGATGAGCACCACCCTCTAGAGCAGGGGTCTCAAACTCACCTGGGGGCCGCTGGAAGTAGAGTCTGGGTGAGGCTGGGCTGCATCAAGCGGTGGTGGTGGGCCGCTCATCCCGCGTCGCTCCCGGAGGCCGGTCCGGGTGCCGCCGGCGCTTTGAAGGCCGCAGGACCCCTCCCCCTTGCCCTGCCCATCCCGGCAATTGGCCCGCGGGCTGCGAGTTTGAGACCCCTGCTCTAGAGTCAGGCATGACTGGACGTAACGTCAAGAGGAAACCTTTACCTTTAAGACCTGTCTGCCATCAGCCCATCATCTTTTCAGTGCCAGATGGTATTTATGTGGCATGATGGGAGCATTTACGGAGCTGTTTTAACAGGTATAGTTTCTATTAAATTGTTTTTTCGATTAGACGATTAAAAAAATGCAGTATTTTATTGCATTTGTGGTCTATGTTTTGTGTGTGTTGTTGACAACTGCCAATAAAACTTCAGCTATTGGGTGGTATAGAAATGAAATACATAATAATGACGTTAATAATTATGATGCCAAACAAACAAAGTGTAAAGAAGTAGTTAGTTCTTCAATCTTCAGAACATCTCATGCACTCAGGGAGAAGTCGCAGAAAAAATGATCTGAACTTACCTCCTGGCTGTCCTGATCTATCCTGTCTTCTGCATGGCTGGCTACTGTGGCAAGGAACTGGAGGAGTCGATGTAAGGTGTCACAGTTGCAGGGGGGTAGAAGATAAATAAGAAGTTGCAGGGTGCTTAGTTGTTCGTGCGGTTCTAACACTAAGACAGAAAAGTGTTTTAAGGAGTGTGCTCACAGTAATGTACACAGTTATAAAACTACCTTCACCTGGCAGGTTGATTTTATTTTTTTAAGGTATTGGAGCAACCAGACAATATCATCAGACTGCAATTACATAGGTACATAATAAATGGTCATCTGGAATAAAGTTCATGAGATCCCGAAAAATGCTTTAGGAATCTTGGAATGTCACCTTCAGATACCGTGTGGTCAACATTTGCTCTCATTATTGCAGCTTTTTTTTGCAGGGGGGGGGGAGGAGGATTCTACTATAGATCTTTATAGCTATTCTAAATCACACATGTTCATCCAGTTTCTGTATGACAGCTTAATGACTGGACATCTTGGAAACAATCAGATTTGGAATGCCTTCTAGAATGAAAGCACACTTCTTGTGTTACTGTAGGTGGTGGCATGTTTGGCACTATGATTTCTATCTTGAGAATCACATTGCCATGTGATCAACGCATTGCAGTCAACTGACATGTACATCTTGACATGAACTATGTGCAAAGTATATAAATGTGATAAATGCTGGACAAGTGTTTAGTTCCATTTTCAAACAACTCCAGTTGGGCCTGACCCAAGCTCTAACTATAGCAGATCTTTCAAACCTAGTGTCCCTCAAATGTCTTGGGCTCCCAACTGCCATCAACGCCAGCCAGCATAACCAATAGTCAGGAATGTTGGGCGTTGTACATCAGCTTGCACTTCTAAAGGGGAGTAAGTTGAGCCAGGGAAGGCTAAGCTATAGTCTAGGTCAGAAGTAAGCATCCATTCCATGTATTTCAGATAGATGAACTCACAAAAGCAGGGTGAGCTTAGGAATCTATATGCAATGATTTAATAAAAATAGTTCTAGTGCTTACAGAGAGTGTTGATAAAAGGAGTATAAAGCTCCCTGGTCAAGAGTGGGTCAGGCATGTCACGAAGAAATTCCTTTAATAAAGCAGCCACATCATGAATACTGTGCTCTTCATCCAATATGACATCCACACCACGGTCAAACTCCTCACGTAACTAAAAAAAAAAAAAACAAGAAAAACAGTCACATTGAAAAGTCACTTTATGGTATTATATTTCAAGAAAAGGCCAACACATAACATTATGTGTTTTGCCTCCCCTTGGAAACTGTCATGTCCTACTTTTGTGAAGAAAAAAAATAGAAACTGATGAAATGGACATACTGGCTGGTAGTTTTATGAAGGCTTCTGCATTCTTTCTTTGCAGCACTCGTCTCTTGAGGTCTGCAAGCCCTCATTGTGGAAGGCATATTAGGACTATGAAAAGGAATCTAATCACATGCTTTAGAGAAACAAAAAGCAGAGAGATCTGGCATTGCTGAAAGAGACACTCAGAGACTATCGGAAAAGAAGCTGATCTCAAAGAAAGTCACAGAAGGCAATGTAGCTGAGAGAATACAGGAAAAGGCTTGAGTGTCCTATTGCTGGAAAGAAAGAAGCATTTCATTCCAGCTTTCACAGTTAATACCATTGATAACAACCAGCAGGTGGCTTGTCTGATAATGATATTTGGAATTGCCGATGGGGAACTGGAGAGCAACTTTTGAAGCAATGCCAATTTTTACTACAAAAATACTGAAAAGGGAGGATGAAAGTAGGAACATAGCTCTAGGGTCCATGTGGCCTGAAGTGCCTGATCCTGCCTAATCTTGGAAGCTAAGCAGGGTCAGGCCTGGGCCGAAGTGGGATGGGTGACTTGAGTGTATGATTCTATGATTATTGCTGTCAACTGCCTAGAGAGCTTTGGCTATGGGCAGTATAAAAATGTAATAATAATAATAATAATAATAATAAAGCTTTATTTAAATGTAATTTAAATAGAATTTAATAGAAAGGTTAGGCGGATATTACTAGTTTCCCAGATACATCATCAGGTAACCAGATACTTGTTTAAGCACAGCCCTACACTGTTCGTTAACATTTAAGCTTCTTAGTATGCAAAAAGTAGTGCAGTTCTTAATATGTTATTTTGGCTCACCTGTCTTACTCTCTTTTTTGAGCTCCCAACTCGAAATATACCCACGGTTTGGAGACCTGAAAATACAACAGATCACTTACTTTGTGATTTGTGAAGCATGCATACATCTGTTATTAATATCACTATTACAGCATAATATTTTGCTTGTTTGTTGTGTGAGGTTTGCTATCACAAATCCTATCAACTTTGTCTGAGTTCACTTTAATGGTGATAGTCTCTCCTCTATCCTTAATCAATATGAATGTCTTTCAGAAATTAGTTCTTCTCTCAATGACATTTACTTCCGTGGATCCAGGATAGGTTTGCAGAAGTTCCGCAGCAGCTATTCAAAGGTGACACTAGAGGGGAGTCTAAGATCAGTCTTGGCCATAATGCCTCTTTTATGCATCTCATTTGTACAAAGATATTTGAAGGGAGTGTAAAAACTGATGGTGGGGGGGGGGCATAAACATCATTAAGGTATCTTCTAGATTAAAAGAAGGGTACAGAAAAACAGTTCTGGGCAGATGTCATCATGGTATTGCACCAGCTCATGTGTTACTTTGCCCCTAGACAGAGGAGGAGGGAGGAGAGTGTGAACATGGATGTAAACAATTCATGTAAGAATTTTTAAATGCTTGCTCTCAACATCTATAGTTCGGGCTCACCCCTGACAGTCTATGTCAATGATACTCTAGGTGCTAATTCTAGCAGGCAAAGTGCCAAAGTAGATGCACCACAAGGTGTCTGATCAGCCTTGAGAAGAAAAGACTGAGGGGGGCCATGATATCCCTCTATAAGTACCTCAAAGGCTGTCACAAAGAAGAAGGCCAAGCTCTCTTCTTCCTGAAGTCAGTGTGTAGGACACAGAATAATCAGTTAAAAGTTGTGACAACCCAGATTCAGACTGGACATAAGGAAGAGCTTCCTCACTGTCAGAGCAATACGATAGTGGAACCAGCTGCCTAGAGAGGTGGTGGGCTCTCCCACACTGGAGACATTAAAAAAGAAACTGGACAGCCATCTGAGTGGGACAGTGTGACTTGGTGTCCTGCACCAGCAGGGTTGGACTCGATGGCCTTCATGGCCCCTTCCAACTCTACTATTCTATGAGTTGCCTAATAGCATTTACCCCACCTGTCCAGAAATTAACCAAAACAGTTCAATTGTATTTATTGTATTGCATTTTATATGCTGTTTATTCATGTCCATATGACATGATGATTATAGTTCATAAAATTCTATTTTCTCCATTATTTTAATTTTGGATTTCTGTGCATACCTAAGTGACTTCAAATCTGCTCTTTACAGTGGGAAGTGACACAAACATCTGACAACATGACAAACTGCAAATCTACTGGAATGTTTGCAGTAATTTACCCTTTCCCTCAATATTATAGCTGCATTCACACAATATGGCAACTCATACTGAAGCTTGAGTATAATTTTAGTGTGGTGGCTGAACTGCAGAGTTGTGCTGCGTGAACCTATAAAGAGAAACCATGGTTGTTGGGTTGTAAACTGTGGGTTAATTCATGGTGAACTAACTAGAATACGAACTAGAACAACCAATCTACCATTCAGCAAAAAACTACACTCAGCCTAAACTCAATCTTGAGTGTGTGTTGCTGTGCTCTATGAACCTGGTCTGTGTTTCCAATAAAAATTCCCTTCCACCATTTTCTCACCTCGCCCCCATAAAAAGTGTATTGAAGAGGGAAGGTAGTAGGGGCTACTGCTCCATAGAAAATAGTCTGAGGTCATTTAGCATTGAGTACTTATTGAGGCTCAGGCTCACAGTGCAGAAGCTGCATTTCAGGAGAAGGTAAGGGAGAACCTATAGTGCTGATGAGAATGCCCACAGTGGGTGTGACTCCATCCAACCTATGCCTACATCTCTTAATGTCTGCCATTGAAGTTATGCTGCCAAATCAAAACACTTGTCTTACCATGTTTCTCTAAATGCTGGCAGCAGCTGTCTACAAGCCGAGGGACCTGCCTGTAAATAGGATTGAGGCTTAACTTTTTATCCCTGGACTTTTCTTTCTTGTTCTGCGCTTCAGCAGGTAACGATAACTGTAGAGCTTCTAGCAGTCGAGACTGGCTGTCGTCAAGATCAGTAATGGAGTCCACAGACATTGCACCCTGAAACATATGCAATGACACATACAGCTGGTATAGATGGAGTGAGATTAACTTTTCTCCTCAGCTCCATTAAGGTTCTGAACATTTTGATAGGTCAGGTTCTGAGCTATCCATAAATAAAAAGGGTTCTTCAAAAAAAGAAAAAAGATATAGACCAGGAGGTAGGGAACCTGTAGATTGGGGTCCAAATGTGAATTCTAGTATTCAAGTCCTGTCCCCAAGACTATTCCAGGCCACCAACTCCTTCAAGCCATTCTGATATGCCACTGGGAGGAGACAATGTGGCTAGCCAGGTGTGATCTTCAGAAGGATACCTAAGATCTACCTTGTGTTGGAGGTCCTTCAAGGTACACTAGTGCTGTGGTGGAAGCTGATTAGCCTGCTCCTAAGGCTTGAGCTAGTGACTTTGTTTTCATCTAGGGTGAAGTTGGGAAGCAGGAACAAGAAGTAGTAGTTTGCACTTTCTCTTTGCTCCCAGCACAACTCTACAGACATTCCTTCTCTTCTTCAGGCTCTGCAGTCACACAGAAGGACCGGGCTGCTGCTGCTCCCTTCCTCTCTCTGCTCACAACTCCTTCCAGGCTTTCTTTGCTCAGACAAAGAAGTGCCCATCCTGCCATTACTAGCTCTTGCAACCACCAACCACACATTCCACCTCTGTCCCCAAACAAGAAAGACTACTTAGGGGCTGCTCCTGTCTGTCATGGGTGGGCTGCAACTTCATCAAGGAGGCATTGCCCCAGTACATGGAGGGATATGCAGTCCTTCCTCTAGCACAGGCAGAACAAAAATCTCTTTGCAGGCAAGCCCCACTGGGTTCAGGTTGCACCACAGTTGTGCATAAGAAAGCATGTCTGTCTCTGTCCAATCGACCTTATGCACAGGAAAACATGTGTAGCTCTCGGGTGGCAAAAACCGCAACTCAAGGGTGATAGACGCAGGGTACACTCATATGCATCTTTAGACAGAACTTCAAGCATTCTACAGTTCCAGCATTCCCCATCCAGCCATGCTGAGAGTTTTTTTTTCTCTGACTAAACATGCATAGGATCGTGTTCTAAGGCCCATTTATACACGATTACCAGGTTGAAGTCCCATTGTATGTGCTTGCACATGCATGCACACATGTATGCAGCTCTGTCCCTGCCTTCGCTTTTGTTTGGACTGCACCCCACCTAGGATGCCACTCTTACAGTCTTCATCTGAGGTAATAGGGCCCCCAGTGTGGCCTCTTATGAAAACAGAAAAGAATAGGAAGGTCAGCTGTCAGAAAGGAAACTACTGATACAAACTGCAATGCGATAAATTTATGCTGATAATCAACAAATATACTCTTTACCAGAGGAATAACATTTCTCAAGTTTTCTTAAAGAGACTAGTGGGATTACTTGATCTGGGTTTTTTTAATAGTGGAAATAATTTAAAGAGACTTTTTATAGTTCATCTTTCAATCTATTACTTAAGTTTTGTCTTGATGGTAAGGAGAGACTTTTTGGAGTTTTCATCCCATTATTGAAGCACCAGAGAATCAGTATAGCTGAAGATCTGGTACAGGATATGGAGGATTTGTGGACAAATTATAAAAATACCTTCTTTCTGGAAAGTCGGTACTGTTACGGTTTTTACAATTAGCTCTATTTCATCCAGACTGGCATACTTGGGGTTGAAAAGGTCTACTTTTCTTTAGCATGGGGAGTCTGTCTATTAGCCATAGAAAAGAAAATAAGTAAGTAAATAAATGGAAAATGTGGTTAAAGAATATGACACCTATTGAAAGAAAGCTCTCAATTATACTTAGAAAGCATCTTGCATGTGAACTAACACATTTGCCTTTTTCTAAAATGCAGAAGCCCAAGCAGGTCAATTAATTAGCCTTTTAAAGTTAGCCTTTGGCTTAACATTGTAAGGCAAAATTTTTTGAAATGTTGGTTCTCAGATTTGTATTTATGCATGATGGCACCGTCATTACTGGTTTTTCGGCGCCAGGTAAAGACCTTTTTATTTAAACATCATTTTAATTGTTAAAACATATGATCTGGCCAGGGCAACTTCTTCTTCCTTCTCTTTCTCCTCC